GGGGGGGGGGGGGGGGGGGGGGGATGGGGGGACGGGGGGGGGTGGGGGGATCAGGAACATGGAGACCGGGGAGGGGGTATGCACCTGTGTTGCAAGTCCCCACAAAAAACGATTTTTTTAGTTTACTACGACATGGCATTGATCACGCGGAACCTCACAATATGGGACAGGCCGGTATTTGCCAACAACTCGGGCTGTAGCGTGGCGATCCAAAATGTGGCCAACCCTCTGCAGCAACCGTAGGCATGTCTATACAGCGTGGTACCACCAAAAATTTGGACGGGATCGTTTTTTCGAGGTGTACAGAGCGCTCAAGGTCTAAATTTCGGGGGATCATGCCCGAGAATTTCAAACAAAGTTGGGAGGTAGACACATGGGGCGTGTTTGGTCCATGTGTAGGCGATAGAGAGCTTCACTGGAACGACCCTCGAAGCGGCTATCCAAAACTGCAATTCCCCCGCCTGCATACATGCAGCACACGTGAAACCATACAAACCAGACAGCAAAAAAAAAAAAAAGGCCGCCAGAGCCTACCCACAGAACCAGGCACGATCACAGCAGCCTCTCACCTGTTGCTGCCCCATCGCCCCAGCCACCGACGCCCCGGGGCCACCGCCCCCCTCCCCCTCTCCCACCGCCGTGCCTCCGCCCGAGACGTCCATCTCCCCCAAGCCCAACAAGTCGTCCAAACCCCCGCCGCTGCCGCGCGGGCGGGGGAGCGGCGGCATGCCACCGGACAGCAGCGGCGAAATGCTCCCGGGGGAAGAGGCAGCGACGCCTCCTCCTGCCGCGCTAGAGCCGGCGGGCCCAGGCGTGGCGGTGACCGTGGGGCCCTTGACGGGGCAGACTCGGTGGCAGTAGCGGTTAAGCCTCCCCAGGGTTTTGGGAGTTGATGTCCCCCTGTTTGGGTGGCGTGGGGGGGGTGCCCCAGCCCACGATCGAAGCGGAAATGGTACCCACCCCAGTTAGGATACAGGATGGGGGGGGGGGGGGGGCGCACTCTTATGTTTTGCATGCCTTAGCTGTTTGAGGCCACTGACCACGAGTCCTCCAGAGAACGGAGAACAGGACCGATCACCGATGGCCAATCGCCCCTTCCTACTATGCCAAAGGTGGCTCAAAAAACAAGACAGGGCACAGGATTGGGGGTCAGACCGCGGGGGGCGAGAAATAATCACTACTGCGCCGAGCTGGTCTGGCCTGCTGATAAAACCAGCAAATGATACACATCCTTCGCGTTTTCGTGTGAGCGTTTTCGTGTGAGAGAGGGGGGTGGGGGGGGTGCACGACACGGCTAAGAAAACCCACGCTTGCGAAACGGTAAAGATACATGGGCTCCTGCCGTGGGATACAAGATTTGGAACCCTTCACTCCCCCCCCAGCAGCCAAAAACGCAGGAACGCATGTCTAGAACACGAGCGAAACGCGATTTCATCGCCAGAATATGCATCGGCCTCCTCCAGGCTGAGAAAGGCCCGGAACTCGCCGGTTCTTTAAGGCTTTCGTCGATACGATACAACTCCACCTTGTCTTCAGGCCGCAAACAAAAACAGGAGGGGCAATCACCCCCATCACCCCTCACAAAGAAACCCGGAAAATGCCGAGAGTTATTCCGGCTAACCAAAATCATTTCCACAAAAACATACATCAGCTTCACACAGCGCGCCACGCCCCAAAAAAAAACATGGAATCTTCTTGACATCTTCACAAGAACAAAAGAAAAAGGACGGCAGTTTCCAGCCGGATTTTCAGCCAAAGGCTTCCAACGTATCCCCTTGGATTGCTGTGGTATTATCTCGAACGGGTGCAAGTCTTTCTGTTTATTTTTTTGCCTCTTCTTACAAGAACGCAACAAATCCATGTCTTCCACAGAAGAAAAAAAAAATGTTTTCTTCAGACTTCCTTCCGCAGATACGAGTTGTGCGAATATTTCCGAAAAACAAAAAAACAGCATTACCTGAAACGCCGCCTTTTCTCTCGCGTCCCTCGCCGCGTGCGTCATGCTCTGCTGGATGTCTATCCCCTGCGTGAACAGCACCGGGACAATTCGCACGGCTCTCCCGCCGCCGCCGCCCCCTCCATCGGTGCTGCTGCTACCGCTGCTGCCATCCCACAGAGCTCTCGGAAGCCTGGGCAAGCACGCGTCTCCCACGATGCACTGGATGGTGTTTCCCTCCACCCCTATCTCCAACTCGAAGGGGTCGTCGGCTACGGGGGAGGGCTTTCCAATGGCCAAAGGAGGTGGGTCGGTGCCGACGAGGGTGGCGGATACCACCTGGTGGTGGTGGTCGGCATGTCGTAGGTAGGGGGGTTGGGGAGACGAGTGTGATCGTTGCTGTAGTTGTTGTTGTCATTATGTTCGATCTCAACGTTGTCGTTGTCTCTGTTACGCGCCATCGTTACTGGCTGCTCTGGTTGTTGTTGTTGTTGATCGTTGGTCGGCATGTTGTAGGTACGGGGGTTGGGAGACGGGTGTGAGTGTTGCTGTTGTTGTTGTCGTGGTCTTCGTTCGCGTTCTTATCGTTGTCTTTGTTGTACCTATCGTTGTTCTGATTGTTGTTGGTTATGGTCTGACGTTAAAAACCGTTCCGGTCTCTCCTCATTACCGTCTGACATCCGCCGGAGGTCAAGCTTACACGGACGTCTTCTGTAGTAACAGGCCCACTACCGAACCCGGGTAAACACTTCCAAACCGCGTACAAAGGGGGTTGAGTTTTTTCTTCCTGTTTACCCCCCGGGGTAAGTGTTTGCGCCTGCTCGCTTGGTCTATACCGAAGGAGCCTCAATTTTGACGGGATAGGTAGCATACAGACTTAGGACGACACTCATACAAGCATACGTGGAATCGCATATTTTCGCTGGGCATACGACGACGACGCCACCTACACAAGCACCCACGGAATCGCATATTCTTGCTGGGCATACGAGTAAGCCTGTGAACACGGGAATCGACCGCGTCAAGTGTTGTATCAGTACTGGGTACAGAGATCTGAACGGTTTGTAATGTAGAGTCGAAAACAACAACAACAACAACATACGCGACAACGTCAATTATACTAGCATCCATGAAGTCGAATTGTTCTTAGCATACCACGACGCGATGCCGACAACAGATAGAAAGCAACCATGCTCTCTCGTTTCAACAACGCGTGTTCCTTGCCTTGAGGTTGTAGTCCGCCAGCATGTCCAGAGCAGACACGGTGTCTTCCACCATCCCGTGTTCCTTTCCGTGAATATACAGCAAGCCCTTTCGTCAAAAGATTCACTCCCATTCGTC